CTTTTTGCCGCAAGGAAAAAAGGGCACGGCCAGTGAGCCAAACGCATGTCACTGCTTGGTGATCGAAGGGAGCTCCTTGGAACCAGAGGTGTTCAAACTTAAAGACTTGGTCTGATCCCCCCCTACAATTTGCTCAAGGCCCCCAAAGCTTTCATTACTGCCAAGGAACAGGAGGAAGAGACGGTAGTGTGGTAAATGCTCCATCTGTGCAAGATTTCTCTGGTGGCGTACTTGTTGCTTGCCATCCCAACGGCTAGGGCCTTTCCATGCTCATGGCAGATAATCAATAAGCTATCAGTCCCCCAAGTCATGTTTGCGCAAGCTAAACTGACGGCTTCTCTTGATAGGACCTGGGCAGTGCCGAGAATTGCCTCGCCAGGCCTGACGTTTTCTGCTTTCTGCTCCAAGGCGCAAAGAAGTTGATGTGCTTGAAGACGCCCTCCTTGATCTTCTCGACCATCATGGCGTTGAGCCCACTCTTCTCCTCATCTTTGATCAAGGAGCTGAGGTGCGCCACGCCGATCCTAGGAGCAAAGGAGCTAACGAGTCACATCCGCGGAGATCTCAGCGTTCGTTGAAACGTTGAAGCAGGCAATGGCTACGGTGGTCAAAAATTTGGGTCACCCCAAAAATGGTTTGTTCTGGTAAGTGGAAACATGGACGAGAAAACCAGCGGTTCAATTCCTGGTGGTTTGATTGTGACCCATACCCAAATGGAATCCGGGAACCCCTCGCTTGTTGACATTCACTTTCACGCTGGTGATAGATAAAGGCTTGAAATGCGTTAATGAGCTGTGTCTGGTCACCTCTGAGGCAGTTCCAAACTTACTCCGGGCGAGGTTACGCTCTGCCATCATTCGAACTCAAATGCATGCGGCGAGGTCACGGCGCCGCTTGACCAGCCCAGCACTGCGTAGAGCTTTTCCGTATGACAATTTGCCACCGAGGTCACTGGCTCCCTGCGCAATGGGGAGGCAGTTGCCTACGGAAGTTTTGGGTAGCGCCCCACAAAATTGTTTTCGCACGACCAAGCTCAAGGCCCCACACGGCGCAGAAAAGACAACCTTTTTTTCATGACGAGGAATGGTTGGTTGGCATGTGATGCGAGGTTGTCAACAAAGGACAATGTGGTATTTTGCACATGAGGTCGATCAAGCTGCCTCGGACATTGAATCTGCGAGAAAGCCGCTGATGAGTTTGGCCCAAGGTAGAAACAACTGAGCACGGCGCGCCTACCTGAAGAGCTATAGCCAATACCGGCAGTCGTGATTTGTTGTTGAATGCCCTTACGCGGTCGGTGGAAACACCGGCGAGCGCATGGCCCTCGGGTAAAAACCCGTAGGCTTGGCAGGTCATCAAGGGCTCGAGGCAAGTTAAGAGGATCCGACTCCTTCTCATGTACGATAGACGATGCTACGTCTTACGATGGGACGAAAGCCATTCAGGCCAGAGGCGTCGACTGTCTTGGCTAAGCAATGGTGCGGCCACTCACACTCACCGGCTTCGATGCAGGAAGATAATGAGATGAGAGATTGGACGTGGCTGGGATGCATATGCAGGATCAAGCTTAGCAAAACCATCCGGCCCCCTAGCTGCGGTCGGCTGACACAACGGCAGCAAGCCACCTCTCTGGGGTGTGGGGTGGAACTCTCCACAAGGAAGATGCGACTGGGCGAATGCAAAGATCCTGCTCCGCTATCTTCCGGGGCCTCTGGAAGTGGCCGCGGCCCGCGCGGCAGCTGCGTCTCAAAGCTGCTGCTGCCCCGCCTCGCGCAGCCGAAGGAGCACTGCAACAAAGCCTCCAGAGCCCGCATGCCGCCGCATGCGGCGTAGGTGGGTGGAGGTCACGACAGAGTCGGCGCACTCCCTTTTGCCCGTCGTGGAAGCTGGCGCTTACCAACCGAGGTGACATCTGCACCAGCTTGCAGCGTCGTTTCCGGTCGTCTGACCGATGGCAGGAAAGTATGCAGGATGCCGTTGTGGGCACCCAGCATTTGGACGCTACCGCAGCAGGGCGCAGATGTGCACACACGGCTCAAGTCAAGTGGAAAGGGTGCGGGCTGCTGGCTGCGACGTCATGCTTCAGAGCCAGAGCTTGAGCCAAAAATGGCTGCGGGAACTTGCGCAACCATGCAAGAAACGAGTGAAAAAAACATGAAAAATACGCTCGTTGAAAATCCCCGAAAACCAAGTAAACCCCCATGTGAGTTTGCATAGAAGCTGAAATATGAATGGCCCCTCCTAAACTGCCAGCTTTTCGGGGGCCCTCAAAGGAATGTTGATCAACCCCCACCTGGGTGAGGGACCCTTTTGGGATGGTTTTACAGGGAAATCAAAATTCCACCAACTATGCGCAGGCCTCCCGAATTTTCTGTCTACCCCCACATGGTGCACCTCCAGGGATTGATTCCCCATTCTTTTCAACCATCGTTCTTTTCAAAAAAATGATCGCTGTTTCCCCTGAGTCTTGATTTCCTAAAAACAAGGTGGAAAGAATGGAAATGGACGCTTCTTCTAGAGTGCCGTTGGGTCAAGTTGCTCCAGTTTGATCCAACCGGGACCGTGGCGTCGAGCTGGCAACGTTACTTTGCCATGATCAAAGTCACCGTGGGTTGCGCATGAAACAACCCCGTTTTCTCACTTGGATATCTCCCGGAAACCAGTCGATGGTCTTTCCCCAAAAAATGTCCGTTCCAATACAACACGTGTCGATTATTTAGTAATCACCAAAAGAATTATCTCAAATCACTCGTTCCAAAAAATGACCCCAGTCAAGTATATACTGACCATTGGATGACCATTGGATGACCATTGGTCAGAAACCCACTCCGATGATACTTACATGGGAGAAGCTACTCTCGAATGCTTTTAAGTTACCCCAAAAGTTACCCCAAGTTATCCCAAAAAATGTTTGACCGAGTCGAGTCGTTCCAAACAGATGTGGGTGTGGCTCAAAATGAAACAGCTACGGTTACGCAGGTGTTAATCTACTTTTCCATCTGCTAGGGTTCCGGTTTGGACCCGTCTTTTTGCCACACCCATGTTTTCCATCCAAGCGGCGCCACGGACTTGGGGGTCTCCTGCCACAGCGCCTGCAGCTCCACAAAGCTGTCCTTCGGATCGGTGGACGAGACGTTCACCAGATAGTCCTCAGCATAAGGCGCAAAGGAGCATGTTGTGTGTCCAACAATACTATATACATATATTTAGCTGTTTATTTGTTTATTCAATTATTTATTAATTATATTTATCTGTTTATATTTGATTGTTTACTTATGTACTAATCTATTTAAATATGTTTTTTTATGTATTTATTTCTGTATTTATATTTTGTTTCTTTAAGTAGTAGTCAATTTTACATTTGATTTATTTTGTAATTGTTTTGTTTGTTGTATATGTTGTAAATATATATATATATATATATATATTTACAGACATCTATGTACTATTTGTATATATGTGCTCTTTGTTGTATGTTATATTGCCTACAATATACTGTATATTGCAAATAGTATATCTATATGTGTAAATATATACATATATATTATCTAAACCCGAGAGTCATGCTATGACAGGCCTTAAAAAACAGTAGCGGCGAGGGCGCGCGCGCGCGCTATGCGCAGTGTACGCGCGGCGCGCGCGCGGCGTGCGCGCGGTGAGCGCGCAATGAGCGAGCAGCGCGCGAGCGGTGCGCGGCGGCACGCGCGGAATGCGCGCGGCGAGCGTGCAACGAGCCAGCGACGCGCGAGCAGTGAGCGGCGGCGCGCGCGAATCCAAGAGTCTCAAGCTGGTTCAGGGCGTCTGCTTGGTTTTGAAGAGTTGGTCGGAGCCGGCGCTATACGCAAACAGTAACAAGACCGACGCAAGATGAGGGCATCGCTCGAGCTCAAAGACAGAAGAAGTCGACCACTGGTGATCGAAGAAAAATAGCCCAGGATCCACACTTAAGGTGTTGCAAGTTCAAGGTTGCTCCTAGCAAAACTCGTCCAAAGATGGAGTGACATGTGTTTCAAGTTGCAGGTTCCAACCAGCATTACCAGTTGCAAACGCAAGTCGAATGAGTCAAGCAAGTCACAAGTTGGGGCTGCTCCACCCATGAGTGTCATCATCTCATCAGAGTATATTTGCATTTTGGCAATTTGTGGCCGTAGCAGGCTATTTCTATATCAGCCATGAGTCAGGAAGAAAAGACATGAATCAGGAATCGTCGCGTGATGGATCAATCATGAGCCTGACTCACCCTCAGCGCCAATAGCAGTTTTGGCCCAGTTTGTCTTTGGACATCAGATCAGGATCGGATTGATATGAGTTTGACACGCGCCCGCAAGTCTCTGCGCTGGCCAAATATGGTCAAATAGGAAGCTTGCGCACTGTGCGTTCAGGCCCCAGTCAGTTAAGCAGCTTAAGCAGCGTGTGTCTATGAAGTTGGCCACGATTGTTCAGGGCACAAGCCCGCCGATTCCTGAGGATGATGTCAGTCTCAATGTCAGTCACTGCCACTCTTTTACCGCCCTTCTGCAACAAGCCCTGGTGTTCGGGGGGCCCTTTCCTTTGGTGGCTTGCCATAAGCACCGCGGTGCCTCCTATGGTGCACCGGGTGTACGCGTGCGAGATCTGAGAGGCTGAGAGAAGCACCTGTGAACATGTGGGAACGCAATAGTTGACTGGTGCCACCTTCATTTCAACTTTAACTGGAAACTTCACTTTTGACTCTTGACGGTTGACAGAGTGAACTTTAAACAAACTAACTTTGCGAGATCGCCGCAAGCAAAGTCATGATGTAATGTATAGCTACTTGACCTGCGTCGCACCGATTGGTCCATGACCAGTGTCAGTGTCACTCGTGACATGACTCGTGACATGACTCGTGACTCATGCCTCACATCACAGCAATCTTGTTTCCTTTTGGGTGTCGCAGGTAGCCCAGCATTACGTTGGAAGGGGCCACCGCATGGTTCCGGTCGGCCAGTCCCATTGTGCTCAACATCATGAGTCGAATCACGATGACTAACAATATAGGGCCGTAGGGCGCGGCGAAGGTTTTCCCCTATGCGGACGCGGATTCGGACTCAGGCAGCCCAGGAACACTACCCGACTGCGTGCGAATCGGATCTGCGAATCAGTGAATTAGCGCACCGGTAATTCGACGATCCTGAGATGGGCCATGAGCGCTTGGCTTTTGAAGCTTGCCGCCTTTCCGCTTGCAGTAGCTCATGCGCTAGATGTTGCCCCGTGTGAGCCGGTGCGCAACAAACAGCTGTCTATAATTGGGTGGAAACCACCTGCCAATTGACGACACAAGTAGTAGCTTGCGAGATGCGAAATTTTGACTGGCCCTTGTACAGCACGGCAGCATCGTTCAAATCACATGATTCTGCAGGTATGAGTCATCAGACGACACGCCAGCCATCACTAGCTGAAGTTGAACTGACAGCGACACCAGATAGCTGAGGCAAAAATCCCAAGGCCTAAGATGAGTAAATCACGGCAACATATTTCGCTTAAACCAACCACCACTGGGTGCAGTGTTCAGTCCTCCGGACAAACAAATCATTGCGCAGATGCAAAGTGTCAGTGTGGTTTGTTGTTTCAAAATGCTTGCCTGGCGGAAACCTGGTTGGCAGTTGACACCACATTGTTGCATTACGCAAGCAATGCGCATTGCCGAGCGCAAGGTAGACAGCGGATGTGATGAAACATTGCATGTGACTCAAGCTCCGTGGCCCAGCGTCTGCCTGCCACATCAGACGCTGCTTTTTTTGCGGGGCCAGCAGTTTCTTCACCAAGTCAATAGTATTTCTCATATGTAGCTTGGGCGAAATCCTGCGCCACCAATGATGAATAGTTGAAATGATGAAACATTGATGGGACGCAACACGCACAAACTGGCCCCAAACATGTAAACCATAACGTTTGATTGGTTTATTTGATGCTTGACTGGCATTCGCACGATGGGTTCTGATATTGTTTCCATCCTTCCGCAGATACGACTAGAAATTGGCGACATGCGTGCGACTATTGCGCTGCCTCGGGTGAGCTAGTCTGAAACTTGCCAAATTAAGATGTGAAGCGTGAGCAGCATGTTGATTTGGCAAAATCGTGTACCTGATTCATGACGGGTGGTACAATGTAGTACAAGTGCAAGTATTCGGGCCAAGTGGTGCTGGAGGTTGCGTTTAGTTCTCAGCGTCGGTGACAGACTGGCGCTCACGCATCAACAGCTACCGCACGCTTTGAGGCTGCCGACGCAGCACTTGTATTTCTGGCGACACGGTGTGTTGAAGAAAGAAACGCAAAGTGGAATGCCATCAGCTGGTCTGGCCATAACGCCGTACAAAACCAAAAATGTATACGTGCCAATGGACACACATCGTCTGCAAACCCCCCCCCCCCCTCAGCGAACAAGTGTGTCACGTGCGCGCGCAGCGTGCGGGTGTGTGCGTGTGTGTGCGCATTGCGCGCGCGCGCGCGTGCGAACTATACGCGCGGGCGCACACGCGCTGTACGCGCGCACTGCACGCGCGCACTGTAGTACCTGCTCGCCGTACGCGCGCGCTGTTCGCGAACCGTACGCGCGGACTGTACGCAAAAAGTGTGCGCCAGAATCTGCTGTTTTTTCAAAATCTGCTGCCTTTTGTTGAAAATCTGTTGCGGTTTTTCAAAATCTGCTGTGATTTTGAACACGTGCGGTCCACACGTGTGGTGGCCATACGGTACGGGGCGCGCGCGCGCGCGCGTACGGTGTGTACGCGGGCGCGCGCGCGCGAACTGTACGCGCGGAGCGCGCGCGCTGTACGTACGCACCGCGCGCGCGCACTGTACGTACCGTACGCGAACCGTACGCCCGGACTGTACGCAAAAAGTGTGCGCTAAAATCTGCTGTGTTTTATTCAAAATCTGCTGTGTTTTTTTCAAAGTCTGTTGTGTTTTTTTTCAAAATCTGCTGTGTTTTTTTGTACGTACGGTCCGCGCGTACGGTGGCCGTACGGCACGGGCGCGCGCCGTGTACGTACGTGCGACGCGCGCGCGCGCGCGAAAACCGCACGCGCGCGCTGTACGTACCGTACGCGCGAACCGTACTCGCGGACTGTACGGAAAAAGTGTGTGCCAAATTTCGCTGTGTTGTTTTCAAAATCTGATGTGTTTTTTTTTCAAAATCTGTTGCGTTTTTTTTTTCAAATCTGCGGTGTTCTTTTCGCACGTACGGTCCGCGCATATGGTGGTCGTACGGTATGGCACGCGCGCGTGCGGTGCGCACGTACGTGCGGCGCGCACGCGCGCGCGTGTACGGTGTACAGCGCACGCGCGCGGTGTACGTGTGCGGAGCGCGCAGTGCACGTGTATGGCGCGCGTGAGACTCATGTCCGTTGCGCAGCCAGCGCGTTCAGCTGCTGATGCTTTTGAACCCAGCTTCAGGTCATTGGGTTTGCTTTGCTTTCTCAGTAACAAGAAATACCCACACTCATTGACTCCAATGTGAGGACGCGCCGGTTTTCCACAAGCATACACTTAAGGGCAAGAGCTGCTCCAGATGCAGGCGTTGGGGTTCCAAAAAAAGGTTTTGGACGCTTCTCAGAAATCAGATGACGGACCTGGCTGGAAACTGGTCCCCGGACATCAAAATATAGTATGTAGGCTTTGACACTTGACAACCGTGGCAATGGTTGCTTGAATCTTTCTTTTCAGTAGACTTTTCAGATTGCAGAACCTATAACGAATCACTCTACTCTAGAATCTGGAGACCCGAACTTCAGGTCCGATTCACACTGGTCCACAACACAGGTGGGATTGATGATTTTCAGGGCTGCCGACCCCGCGCCAAAGGCATGTGTATGTGTAAACGCATGGGTACTTAAGCCTGAAGCTTGTGAAACGTCTAAGCTGAATCCCTTGCAAGGGGCTTATCGGGTTGTTTCTTAGCTAAACGCCGGTGATATTGGTGGTCATGACCACTTCAAGCAAACAACAAACCGGTATCTTTCTTAAAGATCTGTTGATGCACTCTAGTCTGCGGATCACTGCAACATCAACTCTCAAGAAGCGGACAGGCGCTGGGAATGTCAGACACCATTAGCGTCTGGGACAAAACGCTCTCAACATGTTGCCCCTTTGCGTCGCCAGCGTCACCAGCAAATCCAAACATGACAATTGAATTTTAGAAACAAAACTAAAGAAACAAATTGAGACTAGCGAAGTTCGGGCGGCTGTGTCCTTTGGTGATGCTGAGGGACCTACTCTAGTCTACGGTGGCCTAGAAGGAATCGAATTCCAAAGGCCCAAAGGACAGTTTGCGCTGCGTCACTTATGATTCCGATCTACATGCATATATGCATGTGTGTGGACATAACAGGAACGCAGCAGCACCATCCTCAACACCACCAGCGCAAGCATTCCCTGGACCAAAACACAAGTGATGCTGGGGAAGACCTGATGTGAGGTTGCGAAATTTGCACTCAAGATCATAGGACCTTTTCTTGGGCATCATGCTATAACAAGCATCAAACTTCTTGTTTGGCGATAGCCTGCTTCCGTTCAGTGTCTTGCCAACGTTGCCAAATTTGACCTACTTCATTCTCGACGGCTTGTTTAGCCCTACGGCCTTGGGGGCCAAACAAAAAGAAGCCCGCTTCCAAGCAATGCGCTCGGAAGGTCTGCTCAGCCATCAAGAAATCCCTTACCATTAAGATCCAAAAGAGCCAGCGGCGCAGGTAAAAACTATTCTGGATGGAGAGTGAAGTACAGTAATGACGATACGAGCCCGGGTCCTACATCTACGCCGGACTCATCGCTGGCAGCAAACACATAACGCTGAATTTTGAGTCTGAGCTGGACAGTTAATGAAGTGAATTAATGAAGCAACCGCACTTTCTTTTTGAAGGAGGGGTCTGCGGATACTGTAACTACACAACAACCGCTAACGTTGAATCTACAGAGACTTCAAAACTTTGAGACACATTGGCTACAATTCCTACTTAGCTCATTAATTGCAGCTTCACCTCACCTTCATTCAACAGCTCCCAAAAAAACTGTCAAACGCAACCTTGCCTTCAATTTGTCTCCCCTGCGAGATTTGAGACCGGCACGCGCTTGAGCATCTTCATTGCCAGCGTGATTGAACCATCCTACGCAAGATCTGGACGCTTTGGTGAAAGAGTTGCTTGTCCATGTTCATTGTTTTGACGGTTCCGTCGTTCGTCGCTTAAAATTTGGTCCAAAGGGTCATAGTCCCTCAGGAAACGGACTTTTATTGTTTTTGCACTCGATGATCCCAATCCTGTACTAGGGTCGTTCGTTATCTTTGTTAGCGTTGTGATTTGTTCTGTCATGTTTTGTTTTATGAGTTTATGCCCATTTTTCCCACAGCAGCCAAGGCTACAGGAACATGACACTCGAGATGATCTCCTGGCTGTTTGCGTGCTTGGCGCTTGAGAAACTCTCATCAACACTCATCTCAGGCAAGATAAGTAGTAAGTAGTACAGTATGCGCGGCCGGCCCTGTGACAAACTACATGTCTTTTGGCAGACCACTCCAGAAAAAGCCAAGGTTGAGTCTGAGTTGTGGCTGGGCTGAAAAAGAGATGAGATCTGTGTGGCCTGGTCTTGCGGTGCGCAAGCTCTGCTTGTTTTTGCTGGGCCTGATGCCAGCTGACCAGCATGTGAGCAGAAACATGTGCCACATGATATATGTCAATCAATCGCGATCATTTTATCAAATTATAGTTCATACACTCATGTAACACGTGCGATGTTTACTTCATACGCAAGTGGTTGCGTGCGCAGCTGCGCGTGAAAACGCGCAACCAACTTCGAAAAACACATCATATTTGGACAAACAAATCAGGTGTGGAAAAAACAAAACATCTCGGCACACACACTTTCGCCGCAAAGTCTGAGTGTGCTAGACCGAAGTGGACCACACTGCGCGCCCGCCACACCGGATGCGGCATCGCGCGCGCCGTGCGCGCACCGCGCGCACACCGCACGCGCGTCGCACGTGCACCGCGCACACACTGCGAGCACCGTACACGCACCGTACGCGCACCGTACGCGCACCGTACGCGCACCGTACGCGCACCGTACGCGCGCCGCGCGCCAACTGTACGCACGCATCGCGCACTGTACGCGCACCCCACCGTACACATACGGTAGCCCCCTATCATGGAAGGCTCTTTCATGACTCTCGAATTTAGCTAACATATATATATATACATATGTATACACAGTTCTGTATGTTTGTATGTTTGTAAAAATCTATCTCTACAATAACAAATTGTTTCCCTTCGCCTCGGCCTCCAGGGCCGGGAAGCGGTCAGACCCCTTCAGAACCTCTTCGAGATCTTCCAAACCCATTCCCAGCCTCAAAATGGATCGTCGCGCAGCCAAAATCCGTAGTCAGCTCGCATGGTCAGATCCGTTCGGCCAACCGGCCCAACTCGGTCACAGCCCCTTAAAAACCCCATCCGGCCATGTGGAAACGCGCAAACATGCACCCACCCTCTATTTTGGAAACCAGCTCACACGTTTCGGCGCCGACTCACTCACTCTGACAAACGCAACAGTTCCAGGCAAACTAAAACACAGTATATACCTCAAAGCCAGCCAAAAGCGGACTGGCCGAGGCGGGCAACGCGAAGCGTTTGCAACTATATACACTGGCCAGACAAAAGCTGCGCTTCTTGAAGGTCCGACCTACGGGGTGTGCGCGCGTGTGCGCGCAATTTTTTGGACCCGGGAAGCCAAACATCAAAATCTACGGCTGTGAGAATTGACCGTCCCACGCCTGCCACACAGAACGCACGTGAGTCACTTCCTCAAAACCCGGTACAAAAATGGTGAACCCAGAGCCATGTAAAGAATTAAGAAGGCGGATATCCGCAGCTATTTATGGTTTTGATCGCGCCTCACGTGTCAATCCGATCCGCGCTTCTGAAAAAGTTCGGACCCCCCGCATCCGAACCCACGGGATTTTGAATCGTGACCCACAGACCCTTGGAAACTCTCCCAGTTCGGAACATTTGCCGTCGCAGCAAGGAGCGCGGCGCATGCAGAACTCCAGCCCCAAGCTGTTTCTTCATATTTGCACCAAAGAGCATTCCTACATGCCCCAGTACTGCGAGCGGAAAACTCCAAGACTCTCAACAGATTGGATTCAACTTTTATCGCCGCACCGTATCCCGGAAAGCTCCCAGTCAGACACGAGTCCATGAGCCGCTTCACCGCAAAGTCGGCGTTCGTGGCCCCTTGCCAGCACTGGTAGTAGCCCAGCACCTGGCTCCTGCGTCAAGGCAACTCTGGCCACATCGAATCACAGCGGCCTTGGAAACCACCTGAAGCCCCTCTCTCGGATGGAGTCGCCAAAGCGACTAACAAAACCACCAACAACGAAAACAACCCACCACTTAAACAAAAAGAAACCGCAAAAAAGAGGAAGAAAAAGCACATCTCTACCTTGGCCCATTGTTCCCAAGCCGATCCATCTCCCGTTCGCTCCTGAGCCGCCGGCCTTGGCCCAGGCGTCCTCTCAGCGCCTCGCCGCAGCGCCGCTGCGCCTCGAAGCCGCCGAGGTCCCCGCAGCCGGGCAGCGCCGCCAGCGCGGCTTCGGCAGAGGGGCCGTCAAAGCCGGAGCAGGCCAGGGCTTCGTCGTAGTCCTGGGGAAAAAATGAAGCGGATCCTTCAAGAATTCAGCCGGCGATCCGCAACTATGTCTGGCAAGGCCGCCAAATACTTACTAACCTTCATCTACCCGGATCCTTACATGAAAAACACCTGAACATTGCAACTTGTAAATGGTGGGAAACCCAACTCTATTTTGGTGTTGAAAAAGCAACATGCTTCAAATGGTTGCAAAATGTATCTTGCAAGGAGCGCCTCAAAAAAAAACACGGAAGGGCTCGCAGGCGGATCGGTGCGAATGAGAGACCGGAGAAGTAGGGGTGCAAGAGAGATGGGATGGGTAAACAAAAACGCAAAGCTCTGGGTGAGTTTATAATATTTCACCAGCCTGAAATTGCGGGGTTGGGGAGCCATTCCCCACATTTGGGGTGAGGTCGTGTGCGGTTGTTATAGTTCACCCAGAAAGCTGTCAGGCGGAGCGGCTTTGAGAGGGAGATCGGATGAGTAGGGTAGGGGTGCGAGAAAGATCGGCGGGGAAGGAGTTGCATGGAATGAATTTGGGGATTCCGCGTACAGGCGATCGCTGCGTGAGATCCGTGGGGAAGGAGTTGCATGGAATGTTGGAATGAACATAATGAACCCAGAAATTCCCCTAGCGATTGCGAGAGATCGATAGGGAAGGAGCTGCATGGAATGAATTTGGGGATTCCGCGTACAGGCGATCGCTGCGTGAGATCCGTGGGGAAGGAGTTGCATGGAATTTTGGAATGAACATAATGAACCCAGAAATTCCCTTAGCGATTGCGAGAGATCGATAGGGAAGGAGTTGCATGGAATGAATTTGGGGATTCCGCGTACAGGCGATCGCTGCGTGAGATCCGTGGGAAGGAGTTGCATGGAATTTTGGAATGAACCCAGAAATTCCCTTAGCGATTGCGAGAGATCGATAGGGAAGGAGTTGCATGGAATGAATTTGGGGATTCCGCGTACAGGCGATCGCTGCGTGAGATCCGTGGGGAAGGAGTTGCATGGAATTTTGGAATGAACATAATGAAGAAATTCCCTTAGCGATTGCAAGAGATCGATAAAGAAGGATTGCATGGAATGAATTTGGGGATTCCGCGTACAGGCGATCGCTGCGTGAGATCCGTGGGGAAGGAGTTGCATGGAATGTGGAATGAACCCAGAAATTCCCTTAGCGATTGCGAGAGATCGATAGGGAAGGAGTTGCATGGAATTGGGGATTCCGCGTACAGGCGATCGCTTGTGAGATCCGTGGGGATTGCATGGAATTTTGCAATGAACATAATGAACCCAGAAATTCCCTTAGCAGGCGAGAGATCGATAGGGAAGGAGTTGCATGGAATGAATTTGGGGATTCCGCGTACAGGCGATCGCTGCGTGAGATCCGTGGGGAAGGAGTTGCATGGAGTGTTGGAATGAACCCAGAAATTCCCTTAGCGATTGCAAGAGATCGATAAAGAAAGATGCATGGAATAAAATTGGGGATTCCGCGTACAGGCGATCGCTGCGTGAGATCCGTGGGGAAGGAGTTGCATGGAATTTTGCAATGAACATAATGAACCCAGAAATTCCCTTAGCGATTGCGAGAGATCGATAGGGAAGGAGTTGCATGGAATGAATTTGCGGATTCCGCGTACAGGCGATCGTTGCGTGAGATCCGTTGGGAAGGAGTTGCATGGAATTTTGGAATGAACATAATGAACCCAGAAATTCCCTTAGCGATTGCGAGAGATCGATAGGGAAGGAGTTGCATGGAATGAATTTGGGGATTCCGCGTACAGGCGATCTCTGCGAGAGATCCGTGGGGAAGAAGTTGCATGGAATGTTGGAATGAACCCAGAAATTCCCTTAGCGATTGCGAGAGATCGATAGGGAAGGAGTTGCATGGAATGAATTTGGGGATTCCGCGTACAGGCGATCGCTGCGTGAGATCCGTGGGGAGGGAGTTGCATGGAATTTTGGAATGAACATAATGAACCCAGAAATTCCCTTAGCGATTGCGAGAGATCGATAGGGAAGGAGTTGCATGGAATGAATTTGCGGATTCCGCGTACAGGCGATCGCTGCGTGAGATCCGTGGGCAAGGAGTTGCATGGAATTTTGGAATGAACCCAGAAATTCCCTTAGCGATTGCGAGAGATCGATAGGGAAGGAGTTGCATGGAATGAATTTGGGGATTCCGCGTACAGGCGATCGCTGCGTGAGATCCGTGGGGAAGGAGTTGCATGGAAGTTTGGAATGAACATAATGAACCCAGAAATTCCCTTAGCGATTGCGAGAGATCGATAGGGAAGGAGTTGCATGGAATGAATTTGGGGATTCCGCGTACAGGCGATCGCTGCGTGAGATCCGTGGGGAAGGAGTTGCATGGAATTTTGGAATGAACCCAGAAATTCCCTTAGCGATTGCGAGAGATCGATAGGGAAGGAGTTGCATGGAATGAATTTGGTGATTCCGCGTACAGGCGATCGCTGCGTGAGATCCGTGGGGAAGGAGTTGCATGGAATTTGGAATGAACCCAGAAATTCCCTTAGCGATTGCGAGAGATCGATAGGGAAGGAGTTGCGTGGAATGAATTTTGGGGATTCCGCGTACAGGCGATCGCTGCGTGAGATCCGTGGGCAAGGAGTTGCATGGAATTTTGGAATGAACCCAGAAATTCCCTTAGCGATTGCGAGAGATCGATAGGGAAGGAGTTGCATGGAATGAATTTGGGGATTCCGCGTACAGGCGATCGCTGCGTGAGATCCGTGGGGAAGGAGTTGCATGGAAGTTTGGAATGAACATAATGAACCCAGAAATTCCCTTAGCGATTGCGAGAGATCGATAGGGAAGGAGTTGCATGGAATGAATTTGGGGATTCCGCGTACAGGCGATCGCTGCGTGAGATCCGTGGGGAAGGAGTTGCATGGAATTTTGGAATGAACCCAGAAATTCCCTTAGCGATTGCGAGAGATCGATAGGGAAGGAGTTGCATGGAATGAATTTGGTGATTCCGCGTACAGGCGATCGCTGCGTGAGATCCGTGGGGAAGGAGTTGCATGGAATGTTGGAATGAACCCAGAAATTCCCTTAGCGATTGCGAGAGATCGATAGGGAAGGAGTTGCGTGGAATGAATTTTGGGGATTCCGCGTACAGGCGATCGCTGACGTGAGATTTGTGGGGAAGGAGTTGCATGGAATTTTGGAATGAACCCAGGGATTCCCTTAGCGATTGCGAGAGATCGATAGGGAAGGAGTTGCATAGTATGAACGCAGAGTTCCGAAGAACCTCCAGGCTTCTGAAATATATAAATCCTTCTCGTTGTAGCAGGGTGGTTTGCTTTCAGGCTTCATTTCCACATTCCCTATCGCACCAGAAAAGAGAAAGAAAGGGGAAGGCAGCCCCAAGTCGTCTCCTTGACTTGACTCAGAGGCCAACTATGGAAGATGTGCTGGCAAAAGCTGGCTGCCACGCCCGAATGAACAAGCTTGGCAGCATGATGGGTCGGATGAAACAGTTGTCCATAGCTGTGATAGGCAAAGGCGACAATCATGTGGCAGTGGCATCGTGAAAGGTCCTCTCTTTGCAACAAGACGGACCAAATCTCCTCTCGAAATTGCTGAAGCATGATGAAGCTTTCCCAAGAACTCGCCATACAAAACATCCTATCCACTGAAAGCTTCACTTCTAGCTTGAAATTGTTTGTCCATGGATTCTCGGCAAGACTGGTACGAGATCTTTGGTCACTCTCGAAGGGAAATTCCTGCAAGAATTGAGTGCCCAAGCGTTGCCTGACGGGACCTCTTGGCTATGAATTGGCACTCCAGACCCACAATTCATGAACTGCATGTGGCCTTTTGATTGGCATCAAGGATCTCCTCGATCTTCTTTGAAACAAACCGCAGAGAGGCCCTGAAGCCCAGGTCTCCGGTTCTGCCGCCTCCTCCCCTCCCTTCCCCTGAACGCAAGGAGCCGATTGGACGCAGTCAGTGATCACCAGAACTTGGCCACCTGCAAGCAAGCGGTCGGTCACCCGCCAGCTTCCCCGATTTGGCCTTGGGTCAGAACCGATTGTACAGGTGAACTCACCGCCCATTTTAGATAGCCTACTTTAGTGGTTGGATTGGGTCCCGTTCACTGGGGGTGCGACTTGGATTTTGACCCATGGCCAATGCTCCAGGGTATCCCACAGCCGCAACGAGAGCCGTGGCACTGCGGCTGGTTGAAACCAAAGCCTGGCCTGGCAGCGGGAGTTGCTGGAAGCCCGGCCTTGCCGGGCCATGTGTGTTTTTTTTGGTCAGCCCAAACCACCAGGGTTTCAGGTCACCAGCTGGTGGCTCCATGTGAGCCATAGTCAAACCTGATACTAAAATGGTCGTACCCCAGAACTATGCTTCAAGCAAATTTTGAAGGCGGATATCAGCACCCATTTATGGCAAGGGGATTATCCCTTACTAACCTTTATCTACCCCTTAGGCGGGGGGCTATCCCTGGATAAGCCTAGGATAAGCCAAGGATAATAAGCCCTTAAGCCCCTATGAAGGGGTTCATAAGGGAGCTACGCCCCTCCCCAGTTCGCCCTGAAAGGGGTCCATCGAGTCCGTGGCCCGCCTCCCGGCAGCCGCGCCAGGCGTGCTGCCTCCTCCAGGGAGAGCCGGCCCAGCTGCTGGCAGTCAGAGATCACCTGAGGCGAAGTTTCTTTGGGGACACCAAGTGCACTGAACACCTCTGCTGGCATGTTCAAGTGTACTACACCTTAAGTGCACTTTGGCAGCGCTCCAGCTGAAAAATCACAACTTTTTTAGGGGTAGCTTCCATTTCCGTTCTTTTCGGAAATCAAAATCTTTCTAGAAAACCCAACAAATCCTGGGGAAATGGCCGGTTTTTGAAAAGAACGATGGCTGAAAAGAATGGGGAATCAACCCCTAGAGAGAGAGATCTCTTCGGGGTGAAGGAAAACCAACCAAAATACCACTGGGTGTTTTCGCATTTCCTATTGACGAATGGGATGTTTGATGGACTTTTTCGGGGGGAGATCCTTGTGAGGTGAAGGGAAACCAAACAAACACCACTGGTTTTGGGGGGGATACCCTATTGACAAATGGGATGTTTGATGGAACAAAGAAATCCGCTTGGAACCAGGTGGTGAGTGGTTGTTGCACAGGTTTTATCCATGGTCCACCCCAACTGGCGAAGGACAAAAGGACAAAATCCACCTCAAGCATCACCCCACCAAAAGGAAACTCCTGTTTACTTGGCCCAAAAGGTAAGGATAATTGGAACAGGGTTGTGGGGTAAGGAACAGGGTTGTGGGGTAAGTCAAAACGCTTAGTCATGATAGGAGTGAACTATTGTGGATGGACGAAATCCTGCACCACCTAAGAAACCCTGGAATGATGATTTGCGCTAACCAACAAACAATGGTCTCCCATGGTTTCTTAGGTGGTGCGAAATGGATTTCGTCCATCAGTAAGAGTATTTATTTTGCCCTGACCATATTGGATTCAATTGGCTGGACCCTTGGGCATCATTTAGCTGATTTACGTCCGCCAACCATTTGGGAGGGTGTTCTTAAAATCATGGCCGTATATGAGAACATGAGGTATGAACAAGTAAACCAAGCTTCGCCATTTTTAGGGACCCCGTTTGAAACACCAACATGGAATTGTGCACAGACACCGTAATGGCTCCGAAAAGCCGACCAAACATCGAGATTGGACTATCTTCGGTCTTGCGCATATCAGGCGCCTGAGACTTGAGGTCCTCAAACGGAGGGGCAAGATCCCAAGAAAGATTCTAGCAGCAAGCGGACCACAGGTTGTTTGTCCATGCTTCCATTCTCCAGGTTCCATGTTGGGTATCTATTTTTGACCCGCAACAAAAAAAATGAAAACAAATCAGGGTTGGCTTCCTACCCTCCCACCAACAAACATGGAAGTGGACAGAGGGGTTCCCCAAAATAGTCTTCCAACCCCCTCCTGTCAGCTTCAATCCTTCCGTTAGTCTGGAGTGTACCGTTTGCAGACAGATTTATTCCCCCGCCGTGATGTTCTCTTTCGCGAAGACCTCGGCCATCTTCTGATCGCAGCCATCACCCGTGCAGTCCCAGCCTCAGATTTAAGGACCCACGAGCGCAGGTTGAGCATGATGTGTGGCTTGTGGGTCAAAAATAGGCATCCAAAATGGAACCCTGGCAAATAGAACCAAAGACTAAAACCTGCGGTCACCTGGTGATTTAATGTTGATTCATACCCATATGTGGTTTGTGGAAATTTATATTTCAAGGCTACCTTTTTGGGCTTGGTGAGGGAAACCGAAGAAAACCTCAGCGGTTTGGACGGAATTCCGTCTTTTGAGACACACATATACGAGTTTGTTGGGCGATGTCCGGATTTTACGGCAAAGAATGTGCATGACGTAACGGAGCCAGACGACTTTGGAGCCGAGAAGAAGATGCACAGATCGGAGTTGTCCGAAACCGCCACAGGTCCAAGAACACACGCCACAGTGGGCTTGTCTTTAAATAGGAGAACCCTCAACATGGGCAGTTTCACTTAAAAGCCATTCCCACATACGATCCAAAGACGGCATCAAACATGGCACAGGACCAACGCCAACACCTGGAGATGGGAGAGATAGACGTTTGAAGGGAAAAGCACTGCAGAAGTTGAGAGTTGCAGGGATAAGTTCGGAGGCTCTTCGGAACTTCGGAAAAATCCGCTTGTCCCTACGTGTGGCACGAACTCCATACCCCGGCGTTTAATCCAAACCTGGTGTCCAGGCTGTCTCGGTTCCATACCAGCTTTCGGCTTGGGACGTCCCACTGTTTGCGCCATGGACCAAAAAACACTTCCCAGAGCTCGCAAACTTCGGGATCTCAAACCCATCTCCCTCAGCCCATACTGATGGTTGCGAAATCCATCCAACACACCACCGTTCAGAAACCCAAGGGCATGATTCGATTCCCAACGTAAATACCAGCACAATTGCTTCAACCATGGTCATTGACTCATTCCGTGGCTCGCGATTTCGAGCGGATTTCGCAAATCCATCCACGGCAGCTTGGCACTAAACAACACCTTTTTGGGGGTTGTCAAGAATATCAAACCCCTCTCTGTGCACAGGATCGCCAAGTGGGTGTTGCTCAAAGTCAAAGAGCCAGGGCAAACCGCTGGTTTGAGTCCTTTCCATTTACCAGGGGGCCAGTTTGGTAAATTGCTCGGGCCACTTACCCATGTTTTAGTCCTTGATTACAATGTGTTCGAGCCACAGCCAAATCAGCAAATCACCAAATCAAACCAAATCACCACTACCCCCAGTGGACACTAAAACAGGCTTTAAAATGGGTGGTAAATTCACCTACCCCAAAATGGGATCCCAAAACGCTTTTGACCCATGGCCCATGGCCAAATCAAACCTTCCATTTGCTTAAGCCCTCTAAAGAAAAATGAACATACTTCCAGTTATTTTATTTTAAAAAATAAAAAAAACTTAAACATCCTCCCTTCCCCAGGGATCGAACCACCAGTAGAACAATGGGGGGTCCAGTTCGAACCACCAATTCGTTGCCCTAGGAATCAAACCCAATGATTGGTTGCTGTTGACCCCCCTGCAAAAAGAAGTTATTTTTTCACTTTTTGGGGGTTTAGTGGAAAACCATTCTGATTTCAAACAACAAGTGGAAGTCTAAAGATCCAACCCAATAGTCAAGAATGAGCGCGTCTTAGGTCAGGCGGCTGTAGAGCAGCACCAGGTCCTCCACCGCGGGGTGCTGGGCGGCCCAGCGCACGATCTCCCCCACCGCCGCGGCGGCCTCAGGTCTTCGAGGCCCAGGACCCAAACGAATGACCCCAGATCTGCATATGGCCAGGAGCTCAAAAAAAAACCTGAGAAATGGTGGTGGTTGACAAATGGGTTGGTGGTTGTTTGACAAAATCTGCATCTATATGGTGGTTGACAGATGTCTAACCCACCTGACATGGGTTGTTGAAAAACACCCTGGGCTGGCACCTGGGAAATGACCCCAGTTAAGCCTATGTCCGCAGAAAAGCGTGTTTTACTGAACCATTTCGTGTCATTTTCCAAGGGTGTAATCCCAGGGGGTGATACAACAACTCTTAGACCCCAGATTTGCATAATCCAAATGGCCAGGAGCTACCAAAACGGACATATGTCTAATGTTGACCCCAGATGTTCATCAACCAACCTGTTTATTTTATTTGGGGGGTGGTTTTGGCCCTCCAACAGTGGGCTGTTGGACACCCCCCTGTTCGTAAACTGGGATTGATTGATGCGTTACGTGGCGTAACCCTTCGCTCTTTCAACTTCTGGCTTCTGACTTGGGCAATGGCCCGACCTCCCCCAGTGGCACCATATTGGCTGGTTTGAGACACGGAAGGACCAACATCGGCGGCCTCTGGAAACCCCCGCATCGGCTCACAGAAGAGCCACCTTCGAAAACAGAAACGAAACGCAACAAGGTTGCAGTGCAAAAACTTTGGAGGCACTCCATTGCCTTTTGGGTTCCTGGTTGAAAACTTTCACCGATCGATTGCAGTGTCTTCGCGTGCCTAACGTGGTAACAAAACAGTTTACGATAGCATGCCTTCCAGTGTGAATTTGTAACACCCAGGAAAGTAAGTTCTACTGGTAAAAGCCTATTTGATCTCGAACCAATTGAGCCAAAGAAGCGGATTTCACCTTTTCACTTACGGTCAAGGAACAGCTCAAAAGCTTCGAAGACTCAATCACGGCATCTGAAGCGTCTGAGCCTTGGGCCTCGGCCAACTCCTTTGAGCCAAGGGGCATCTCGCGTCACCTCCACATCCCCGTGGTGGAACATCCTCACTTCAAAAGGACTTGAATATTTTCAGGGCTCATCGGCTTGGGGCGACAAAGGAGTGCCCCAAAAGAACAACAAAGCCTAAAGTTCAAAAATGGACAGGGCAAAACAAAGTGCCCCAAAAGAACCACGAAGCCTCACCAGCCTAAGTCCCTTTGGTTGGGCTCCCCTTTAAGTTACTAAATCTGATTGACCAGAGCAGAGTACCCTTCTCTTCCCAACATCTTTCCACCCGAAGAAACCTAAGAATGGACCTAACAATGTATCCTTCAAGTCGCAAGAAAACAAACAAACAGACAAACAAGCAAATAAACAAAGAAAGAAGCCAGCACCCCTGTACCCATCCAAAAGACCAACAACACACCCTTCAACCATTTGCCCCCCCCCCCCTCCCCCCCCCAAAAAAAAAACTTAAAAAGAAATAACAACGAATCCGTCGAATCAGACGTCCTCTAAGAACTTTCTCCAAGCCGCAAGTGGCCGGAGGCGCTGACGTGGCCGCGGAAGTCCAAGGCGCGGGCCCCGCAGTTCAGTTGCGTGGTGAAGGCGGCGCTCGGGTCTTTCGGCTGCGTGCGCGCCCAGGGCACCACCGGGCTCAAGGGGCTGTCCAGGTACCTCAGACGCAACAAGGTATGAATCTCCTGATCTTGTCCTATGGCTCGGCGGGATTGCTACACATCCTTGGCGCTGCTACCCTTTTCAGCATTGTTACCCTATATCCGGCGTGGCTACGGCCCCAACCGATTGTCTTTCGAGCCGTTTCCTCGGGCGAAACTGGGCGAAAGTGGGCGAAAGTCTTGAGTTCCTGCTGGCACGCGGTGAGCCATGTTCTTTCTTTTGTTCATGAGCTGCGAAGCCAAGGCCGGGTGCGTCGAAGTGGGATCAAAGTTTTGCTCAGCTATTGGTAAAACGAGGCAAAACTCTCCAATGGCTTCATGTTGCAAACGCGAGACACCCCTTGGGTCGGAGTCCCAAAGGATATGAAAAGGGATTGAGCAATGCTCAGCTACTTGGTGACACAAACCAAGGGAGAACAGATTCCTTGGATCTTGGGGAGGGGGGGGCTTGTTTTGAGAGAGTGGCACAAGGCCACGAGCTCAACGTTGGGTTTGCAACTTGAGACCTTGGGATGGCTTGACTCCAAGTGCGCGCCTGCGGCCTCGGCCTCTCGAGGTGCCCATAAGAAGAGATTCCCAACAGTATCACAGAAGTGGTTGGGCAAACCCCGAATCCCACAAGAGCGAGTGTAACTTGGAACCTCGAATCTCCAAACTGGAAAAATCGCGCCCCTCGATCCAAGAGCTCACAAAGGCCAAGTGGGACCAAGGCCCAAGGAAGGCGTTCTCAGCTTCAAATTGCTTCGGAAGTTGATTGCACGGCCCGTTTTCGTCCAAGGCCAGGAAAGGCTCGGAAAAGGGAAAAGAAAAAAACGAGAAAAAAAAACAGGGAAAAAGCTTTGAGAAAACTTCATTTTTCCCCCTCAAAACATGGAGAACACAAAATAGTAAAAGGTGAAGAAGCTTTGCCCCGTGTTTTTTTTGGTGGAGGAGCCCCGTGGCCGCGTCGTGGGCCATGAGCATGGGCCAGCGCGTCAGGGGCACTGCCCCCAGCTCCGAAGCTTCCGGCGCGGCTGTGGGCCCCACCTCCTCGCAGATGGGCGCCCGGAACAGCGCCGGCAGAGTGCACATGGAGTGGAAGGAGGCCTGGTAGCGGCCATCGCAGCAGCGCAAGGGCGCGCCCTCAGAGGCGCAGGAGTAGTAGTAGGGGGGGAGCCCAAAGTCGCTGCAGTTCGACCAAGCTCTCACGCCCAAGACCTGCAAGAGGGCGAGGATCCATTGCCGCGCCATGGCGAGGAGTCAAAGCCAAGGCGGATTTCCAGGCAAAGCTGTGCATGTGTTCCGGGGGCGCTGCTGTTCCAATCTGCTCATCTCTGAACATGCAGCCGAGTGCGAACGGGCCAGACAAAAGACAATGCGCGGCGTGGCACTGCATGTCTGAGCATGTTGGCCATTGCTACATGATCCAAACATATTGCTGTGAGGTTTTCACGGTGGTTCGCCTCAAAAATGAGGGATCTTGAGGGGACCCTAAAATAGTGTCTTTCCTTGCGGCGTCCCCTTCAAAACCAACCAAAACGGGGTTCCCAAAACAAGACACGCCAAAAAATGCTCCAAATCCGTCGACCCTCAGGCCAGAGTTCGCGTCAATGGAGTTTTTCTCTCTCAACCAATGCTGATCCTCCAGCTCAAAGGGGACAGTGTGGCACACCTACAGGCCATGTGTAACCAGCGTGTGGCCTGCACCATCGTATCGAGAAAAGAACAAAAAATAGAAAAGAAGAAAAACAAAGAGGGGGAAACAAAAACCGAGGAAAAACAAATAAGGGGGATCGGGCTCTTTTGAAGAACTCCCAGTCGGCACAACTCTAGGCTCCGTCGGTTCTTTGGTCCTTCAGTCCTTCAGCTTCCTTCGGCTCTTATGTTGCGCCGGTGCCGTCTCCGGCGCGAGACAAATGGTGGATGGTGGCGAAATCCACCCGACTTGGGGTTTCCATGGTTGAAACCATATCGTTCGTTGGACAGGGAAATGCCTCATCCTTTCACCAGAGAGACCTCCAGAGAGGTGCGGTTTATGGATTTCGCTTTCGAACATCACCAGTACTTCCTGAAGGTCGGCGCTTCGTTTCAGCCGGGCACTCTGCCGGAGCCGACGAAACGAAGGCCCCGGCCTTCGACCTCACTTCGGCAGCCGCAAGCGCAGCTTCCCTCTGAAAAAAGATAGGCCAAGTACCTGGCGAAACGCGTCCTGCCGAACGGACTCGTGTTTTTTTGTTTTTGCTTTTTTTGTTTCTCCGTGTTGCCTGTGAATTACGTGTGATCATCTACATGGCCATGGGCTTTTCAAAATCCAAATCGGTTAGCCCGCAGTGAACTTTTGGACCCAACCACATTAAAATACGTTCTAAAATGGGTGGGCACCTGCCAACCAAAATGGGATCCCATGGTTTTGACCACCACAGCCGCATGGGAACCTCAGAAATCGGGACCAAATCCGTGAAACTTTTTTACGACCAAATCAGCTGTCCAAATCGTAGCGGCGCTGTGCCATCAATGCATACTGCATGCATGTGTTTTTTTGTTTTGTTTTTCCTTTTTTTAAGAGCATAGATCCCAGATAGCGAGAAGCATGCCGACGATTGGTCTCCAGCACCTCCAACAGCACCCCCCCAAAACAGCACTTGGCAGCGCAATCACTAGCACCTCCGACAGCACACTAAACAGCATCCCAAACTGCATGCTCGCTTACACCCTGCCGTCAATCTCGCAAAAATGGACCCACGCCGGCACCCCCAAACAGCAGCCCCAAAGCATCAATCCCGCGAAAACGCGGCACCGTCGCCAGCACCAAACAGCATCCCAACACCACCTGCGCCAGCACCCCAAACTGCATGCCCCCTGGCACCCTGCCGTCAATCTCGCAAAAGTGCACTCGCACTGGCACCCGCAAACAGCACCCCCAAAAGCATCAATCTCGCGAAAAGGCCGCGCCGCACCGTCACCAGCAACTCAAACAGCACCCCAAACAGCACCCCAAAACACAAACCTGCACCACCACCCCAAACTGCGTTCTCCCTTTCATCAATCTCGCAAAAATGCACCCACGCCGGCGCCGCACAATCTCCAGCACCCCAAACAGCACCCCAAAACACCACCTGCACCAGCGCCCCAAACTGCATGCCCCCTTGCACCCTGCTTTCAATCTTGCAAACATGCGCCTGCACTGTCACCTGCATGCCTGCTAGCACCCAGCCGACAATCTCACCAGCACCTCACACAGCGCCCCAAACAGCACCTTCACCAAACTGCACGCCCCCTAGCACCAGCCCATCAATCTCGCAAATCACGTCCCCCTCTTTATTAGAAGTTAGAACCCCTATAGCTTTCAGCTATTTGGGGAACAAGGGGTGTTCCTTGTGAAAAAGGTGAGTCATGATCCAAACCCGGTAACTCTTACAAAGGTCTACCCAAATCAATGTCAAGGGCGGTCGCACCTAATTCTGGTTGGGACGGTCCCCTACTGAACTGAAGCTACCCGGGTTTCGAGCATGGCTCAGGTGAAGAGGGTACCCGTCAAAAACACACACGCACACACATAAAGGAACGTGATATGCTGCAGTCAGACATGTCAACAGAAAGAAAGCTGAAAACAAGCACCTGCATCTTACTCCTCAGGATCGCGGGCTGCTGGCGCAGTCTTTTCAGCTCATGAGCCAAAGCGAAGCTGGAAAGCTTCCCTGGGTATGGCCTGGCTATGCATCCACCTGATGACGAACAGCAGCGGGCGCCTGCCTGGCTCAGAAAACTAATCCAACTCTTCATACAGCCGACGTGACGGCAGGGGAACAAGATTTAACTAGCCGAACTAGACGTGTTCAAGTTGAGGAATATCAGCTTCGCTGTCATCCCTGCAACGCCCGCCTGCCTGCACTTTGGTGCAGGCAGCAGAGCACTGGAGCCAAAAATATATATGTACCTTATAGGGTACATCTCTCTAAGCTGACGCAAAACGTTGAAAAACTCTCGGATCACACTCCCCACACTCCACGCAAGGGAGCGAAGGCCCAAGAGGGAAAGCTTGCCGCACAGCTTGCACCGCGCCATCTGAATCCTCAGGGCAGGCAGTGTCGAATGGCGATTCTTCAAAGGGCAATCGAAGACCAAGTTCAAACCACAACTCGTTTTGGGTGACTTTTCTCTATTGACCTGATGTTTTTGGGCGATGACCCTTAAATCACCCCACATTTCCCACACCAGTTTTTGGGACCTGACAGCCGATAACTTTAGACATGCGCTGCCTCTCAGCTCAGAGGCACCACAAACTCGGACTTGACGACGTACTGCTTGTCGACCAGGATGCGGGAGCCATGTGGATACAAGTCCGAATCCATACCTTGGCCGCACAAGTGTTCCAGGTCAGCAGTTGTCATCGCGTCTGATTGGAACCTACTAACCACCAGCAACACAGACTACCAAACAACGCTCTGGAAATACGACCAACGGTAAAGGTGGAGATACCATACATCTCATTCATCTGCTTGCACAGGTTGTCGAAAGATTCCGGAGATACCTGGTGGCAAGCCTTGTCCACGTGCCACGTGATCGCGTAGGGCGAGCACACGGAGTTGTCATGCGAGGTTCCAGTGGTTGAGCCCGAGTACATCACAGAGTCGGTGTGGCCAACAACGGTCCAGCCATGCAGCATGTCATCAACTGTGGCTGCGCCGTTTACAATCTGGAAGATCTGCCCTTGCACCACGATCATAGGGTTCAAGAGGCCGCGGCCGTTTGCAGCACCTGACAGCTAAAGGCAAGTGAAGTGGAGCTTCTTGGGCAGTGCCTGTTAGGCTGTATTTGGGCCTGTGTTCGTGTGTGCCAGTTTATGCGCATAGCCAAATAGTCGCGCGGATTTCAGTCACGAGGACACAGCTTGTCAGATAGTGCATATGGGTGCATGTGAGCGGCATGTTTGAGCGTACTGGGACCTAAGGGAGATACACTAAACTCATTCAACTTCAAGTACTAAGAACACCCCTTTTTGCATCCCGGTGTGTGCCTATTCTTCTGGGGAGGTGATTCACGCAAGAATCGGAAAATGATTGGAAAATCACATTGCCCCACTAGGGCTCTAAAAAAGATGTGAAACGACTCTTCCGCAGGCCGCCCCTTGCCTCCCAAGCCATCCCCCAAACTGTCAGCATTGACGTCATCTGTCTCGTTGGCGTCCATGCCGGCAGACGAGTGGACGTAATGAATCTCGTAGGACTTGCCCACTTCCACCTGACCCTTGCAGTACTGGAAGGAGTAGGCTTGCAGCTGTGTGCTGTTCAGGCTGCTCGTGGGGCACATCCAGCCCGGTCGCACCGTGCCAGTCGTTGCCAAGCGCCGGCCAGCATCGAAGGCTTCCGAGTCCGTTCCGTCGGAGTAGGCCTGGCCACAGAGCGCGCCAGGGTCCCCCCGCCGCCCCCCCCGCCTGACCCTCCCGCTCCCACCTTGCTGACCCACCATTCCGTCGCAACATGTCGCAACCCTGCAACCGCGCTGTTTCCGCCCTCCAGCTACACCCGGCCACGGGCTACGCAGCCTCCGACTTGTGCTCCGCGCCGAGGTGGAAATGAACGTTCACCAGCGGCAGCGAATTCGCCTGCGTGTCGGTGAGGGTGATGGCTTTGGGCACCTTGTCACCCGGGGCGTTGGCCGTCAGGTCGCGTGGCGTCTGGGGCCCTGCCATGGAGCACGCCGGCTTCTGGAAGTTGTAGGGGCAGGTCGGTGCGCCCGGGTACGTGCCCAGCTCTTTCCTTAGTTTCTGTGGTGAGGAGTTCCCTTTTAATTTCGTGCATGAGACTATACTGGCAACTTGTACCACGGCAACATCAGCAGAATGTAGAAAAGCATTGTAAAGCACGTATAAGCGTGACACCCTCTTGCTGCACATGATACTCACTGTTTGAGTGAATAATTGTCAAGCTTCGTTGCAGAGCCGCAGCACTGGTTTGTCTTGTAGAACTCCTTGACATCACCGCAGCTGAGCCCGGCCACCGCGCTTGGCAACACAGGCAAGAGCAAGGCAAGGAGCGTCCGCGTCATTGCTCAGTGCAGCCTATGGAGCAAAGGCAAAATCTGGGCCAAAAATGCCTCGATACAGGTTCCCTCAGATCCGTGCACCTGCAACTTACTCGAGGATTGCCGGCCGCTGGCCCTGTCTTTTCAGCTCATGAGCCAAAGCGAAGCTGGAAAAGCTTCCCTGGGTATGGCCTGGCTATGCATCCACCTGATGACGAACAGCAGCGGGCGCCTGCCTGGCTCAGAAACCTAATCCAACTCTTCATACAGCCGACGCGGCAAGGGAACAAGATTTAACTAGCCGAACTAGACGTGTTCAAGTTGAGGAATATCAGCTTCGCTGTCATCCCTGCATAGGCTTGAACTTTGTTGCAAACACATCGAGCGCCCGCCTGCTTGCACTTTGGTGCAGGCAGCAGAGCACTGGAGCCAAAAATATGTATGTACCTTATAGGGTACATCTCTCTAAGCTGACGCAAAACATTGAAAAACTTTCGGATCACACTCCCCACACTCCACGCAAGGGAGCGAAGGCCCAAGAGGGAAGGCTTGCCGCACAGCTTGCACCGCGCCATCTGAATCCTCAGGGCAGGCAGTGTCGAATGGTGATTCTTCAAAGGGCAATCGAAGACCAAGTTCAAACCACAACTCGTTTTGGGTGACTTTTCTCTATTGACCTGATGTTTTTGGGCGATGACCCTTAAATCACCCCACATTTCCCACACCAGTTTTTGGGACCTGACAGCCGATAACTTTAGACATGCGCTGCCTCTCAGCTCAGAGGCACCACAAACTCGGACTTGACGACGTACTGCTTGTCGACCAGGATGCGGGAGCCATGTGGATACAAGTCCGAATCCATACCTTGGCCGCACAAGTGTTCCAGGTCAGCAGTTGTCATCGCGTCTGATTGGAACCTACTAACCACCAGCAACACACACTACCAAACAACGCTCTGGAAATACGACCAACGGTAAAGGTGGAGATACCATACATCTCATTCATCTGCTTGCACAGGTTGTCGAAAGATTCCGGAGATACCTGGTGGCAAGCCTTGTCCACGTGCCACGTGATCGCGTAGGGCGAGCACACGGAGTTGTCATGCGAGGTTCCAGTGGTTGAGCCCGAGTACATCACAGAGTCGGTGTGGCCAACAACGGTCCATCCATGCAGCATGTCATCAACTGTGGCTGCGCCGTTTACAATCTGGAAGATCTGCCCTTGCACCACGATCATAGGGTTCAAGAGGCCGCGGCCGTTTGCGGCACCTGCCGGCTAGAAGCATGTGGACTACTGCACTGCCGTTTAGATTTTACTTGGGCCTAAGTTGGCGTGCGTGCGGAAATTGTGAGCACCAACAAAGGGAAGCATGGAATTAAAGTCACACAAACAAGTGCGTAGCTTTCGAGACTGCATTTTCGCGCATTTGCGGCGGACGAGCGAGCTTGAGCGTATCATGAAGACTCAACAAGACATGCATGCACTTGCTTTCTCACTGAACTGATAACAGAAAGTTGAAGAACAAATGCATTCTTTGCGCTCCCCCTTGCCTCCCAAGCCATCTGAGAGACTGTCAGCATTGACGTCATCCGTGTCGTTGGCGTCCATGCCGGCAGAGGAGTGGACGTAATGAATCTCGTAGGACTTGCCCACTTCCACTTGACCCTTGCAGTACTGGAAGGTGTAGGCTTGCAGCTGTGTGCTGTTCAGGCTGCTTGTGGGGCACATCCAGCCCGGTCGCACCGTGCCCGTCGTTGCCAAGCGCCGGCCAGCGTCGAAGGCGTCCGAGTCCGTTCCGTCGGAGTAGGCCTGGCCACAGAGCGCGCCAGGCCCCCCCCCCCCCCACGACCCCTGACCCTCCCGCTCCCACCTTGCTGACCCACGATTCCGTCGCAACATGTCGCAACCCTGCAACCGCGCTGTTTCCGCCCTCCGGCTACACCCGGCCACGGGCTACGCAGCCTCCGACTTGTGCTCCGCGCCGAGGTGGAAATGAACGTTCACCAGCGGCAGCGAATTCGCCTGCGCGTCGGTGAGGGTGATGGCTTTGGGCACCTTGTCACCCAGGGCGTTGGCCGTCAGGTCGCGTGGCGTCTGGGGCCCTGCCATGGAGCACGCCGGCTTCTGGAAGTTGTAGGGGCAGGTTGGTGCGCCCGGGTACGTGCCCAGCTCTTTCCTTAGTTTCTGTGGTGAGGCATGCTCTTCATTAAGTGCAGTAGATTGTGCTTGTAACTCGTGCAATGGACAGGATGGATGGCAGAAATCTACGATTCGTGTTTCAAGCATCGTTGCGGAGCCGCAGCACTGGTTTGTCTTGTAGAACTCCTTGACATCACCGCAGCTGAGCCCGGCCACCGCGCTTGGCAGCACAACAGCTGGCAGCAGCAAAGCCCACGACTTTGCGCGCCCCGGCAGGGCAAACGCCAGCACAATGAGCAGCAACGTGAGGTTGGGAGTCATGCCCATGGATCCTGAGAACTCTCCAGGGTTGGTGTCACAAAGGTCGACCTCCACATCATCGGGGCACACATCTCCCACCACCAGCTGCAGCCCACAAAGCAGCAGCAGCGAGCCAATCATCCGTGCCATGAGTCTACGGATGCTAGCGTCACAGTCAAGCCAAACCTTCAAGCCAAAGTGCTTCGAACGTGCGCAGTCTCCTCAGCAGCTTCCAACCTGTCAACCGTCTGGGACGAGAAAAGAGAAAAAGAGACAGAGAGAGAGAGAGAGAAAAAAAAAAAAGTAACGGGAAGAGAGACTGAGAGACGGAGAAACAGACGGACATGCCAGACCAGACGGGACAGAAAGACAGAAAGGACAGACAGTCAGGGCTTGAGCACAGCTTTGGGGGCGCTGGTGATTGTTGCAACTCAACCGCTGCATTCCCTGCGTCTTCCCCTGTCTCGCGCTCGTGATGGCCCTCGCTCGCCCTGTTTGCGTTTGTCTGTCCTGTCTGTCCTGTCTGTTCTGTCTGTCCTGTATGACACTGTATGCCTTCCCGCCCGCGCCTCCGCAAGTTCCGACACCTGCGCGAGACTTGTGACAGCTCAATGGACAAAGAGGAGAAGCTCCCTGCAAACCTCACGTCCCAAATATCAGACTGATCTCAGAGACAACATGTTCTCTCATATGACATGCTGAGTCGTTTGTGTCCCTCTCCCTTTTGGTCGCTCCTGCTGACCCTGCATCTAGGAGTCGAATATTTCCTGAAGCAAAGATCCCTGCAAGAAACACACTCGTATCGACAAGTCTTGGCGGCCAAATGCCCACTTCTCACCGAATGCCGAGAACTCTACACCCGCAGCACGCCTTCGTCGCACGAGATCAAGGCGAGCGTCCATGCCCAGGGCTCAGATGTTGCCGTAACGAGATCCAACAAGGCTGATTTCCCCGGTTCGAAGCAAAAGCTCAGCCATGGGTCAAAGGCCAGCTTAGCCCCCAGTGAACATCCCAATCCCCACTCAAATAGACTAGAATGGGTGGTGAATTCACCTACCCCAAAATTGTACCATTGGTTTTGACCCACAGCCATGTGACAATGTGACTGCGCGTAAGCATGGCTGATCAGCTGGCTTTGCATCTCTCATCCCTGAACTTGAAGCCGAGTGCGAACGCGCCAGACAAAAAGAAAAACGATGCGCAGCGTGGCCTTTCAGCCGCCTGGAAAACCTTGGGCATGTCTATCTGCATCCGTCGCAAGCTGTCTTCAAGTGCCATCAGGAACTGCATGAAAAGAAGGCTTCCAACAACCCTTTCGGTTGTCAAGGTCGTCACGGTGACCTTGGGATTGTCCAACTTAGCGAACCCCCAGAATGGCTTCTTTCTTCCGGCTTTCCTTCAAAACCAACCAAGATGGGCTTCCCAAACTACTGAAACATACACCATCCTACACTCATTTGCGCCACATCCTCCACCCGCAGGCCACTGCTGAGGCCAATGCCCAAGACCAGCTGCCGGTCTTGAACATGGAAGACTCGGTGAGTTTTGTGCGAAATTCAGTGCGTCCCCCATGTCCCGAAACATCAAAACCGACCAAAGAGCCGGATATGTGGCCGATGCCCGGAATGAGCATGACTGCCTTGGCAGTACAATCCTGGTAGGTTGGCCTAAACTGATGGGATCTCCAGGCTGGGTGTCAAAGAGCGCAACAGCATCAGCACACTCTGTTTCGCGCGTGGTTGACGGCGCTTTTCTCCCGATCAATCTCAGCGTCGAACTCGCTGTGCAAGCGGCAAAGGATGGTGCGGCAAACGTCAAAACACGGTTTGAACACGCCGACACAAGCCGCATGCGGAAGCATCGACAACCCCTGACCACTGGCCAAAATGTGTTAAAACAGTGAATGAAGTGAATGCCGCACCCCGATGCAACATTGTACTGAAGATAAGCGAGCTGGAACTCTTTTGAAGAGGCCAGCTCCCAGCTAGGCTCTACTAAAAGGCCCCAGTGTCGGGCACCGGCGGCTCCCTCTGGAAAGCAAACCCTTCACCCGTCAGACTACGGGTTTCTCGTGTTGGATTTTGTTTCCGCCCTTCCAAAGCTTAAAGCAAGAAACACACATCGCAATGTTGTTTGCTGGTGCTCAGGGAATGAGGGAATGAACCCGGGAAAAACCCTTAAAGGAAACCATTGGAAAAGGATGGTTGAGGGGTCATTCCACGTTCCCACATTCCCCATGGCACCGATCGCAAGGCAAGTTGCAGTTCAGCCGTTTCGGGGCAAGGCCCCTCTCACTTTGGGCTGGTGATCCCCAGGTGGCAGCGGAAGCTACAGCTTCCCTGCGGGAAGATAGCCAAGTACCTGGCGAACAATTCCAGTTTGCCCAAAGGTGGAGAATTGCAGTGTTTGAGAATTGCATCACAGATTATTTTCGTTTTCTCGGCTTGGTTCCAAAGAAAAGGCATTGCGAACGGATTGCAAGGGCTCAGATTTGCTTCATGAAATGCCCGTGAATTCGAGGTGGGAACCTTTTGGTGGACTTCGTTTTTTTGGTTTTCAACACTTGTGTCACGATTCTCCAGCCCCAAGAAGTTAGACTGACCTCCCGTCAACAGACAAAAAAGAAGGAAAAGAAAAAGAAAAAAAAGCTCTGTACGAAGGAACGCGGAGCGAAGATGCGGTCCAAAATGTTGAAAAGAAAGAAAGCTGCAGATCCGTGCACCTGCATCTTACTCCGGATCGCCGGCTGCCGGCGCAGCCTTTTCAGCTCATGAGCGCAAAGCGAAGCTGGAAAGCTTCCCTGGGTATGGCCTGGCTATGCATCCACCTGATGAGGAACAGCAGCGGGCGCCTGCCTGGTTCAGAAACCTAATCCAACTCTTCATACAGCCGACGCGGCAAGGGAACAAGATTTAACTAGCCGAACTAGACGTGTTCAAGTTGAGGAATATCAGCTTCGCTGTCATCCCTGCATAGGCTTGAACTTTGTTGCAAACACATCGAGCGCCCGCCTGCCTGCACTTTGGTGCAGGCAGCAGAGCGCTGGAGCCAAAACATGTATGTACCTAGGGTACATCTCTCTAAGCTGACGCAAAAATTTGAAAAACTCTCGGACCACACTCGAGCGAAGGCCCAAGAGGGAAGGCTTGCCGCACAGCTTGCACCGCGCCATCTGAATCCTCAGGGCAGGCAGTGTCGAATGGTGATTCTTCAAAGGGCAATCGAAGACTGCGAGGGAGGCCAAGTTCGAACCACAACTCGTTTTAGGTGACTTTTCTCTATTGACCCCCTGATGTTTTTGGGCGATGACCCTTAAATCACCCCACATTTCCCACAGCAGTTTTTGGGACCTGACAGCCTGCGACAACTTTCTCCCCTCTTAGACATGCGCTGCCTCTCAGCTCAGAGGCACCACAAACTCGGACTTGACGACGTACTGCTTGTCGACCAGGATTCGGGAGCCATGTGGATACAAGTCCGAATCCATACCTTGGCCGCACAAGTGTTCCAGGTCAGCAGTTGTCATCGCGTCTGATTGGAACCTACTAACCACAAGCAACACACACTACCAAACAATGCTCTGGAAATATGACCAACGGTAAAGGTGGAGATACCATACATCTCCTTCATCTGCTTGCACAGGTTGTCGAAAGATTCCGGAGATACCTGGTGGCAAGCCTTGTCCACGTGCCACGTGATCGCGTAGGGCGAGCACACGGAGTTGTCATGGGAGGTTCCAGTGGTTGAGCCCGAGTACATCACAGAGTCGGTGTGGCCAACAACGGTCCAGCCATGCAGCATGTCATCAACTGTGGCTGCGCCGTTTACAATCTGGAAGATCTGCCCTTGCACCACGATCATAGGGTTCAAGAGGCCGCGGCCGTTTGCAGCACCTGCCGGCTAGAAGCACGTGGACTACTGCACTGCCGTTTAGATTTTACTTGGGCCTAAGTTGGCGTGCGTGCGGAAATTGTGAGCACCAACAAAGGGAAGCATGGAATTAAAGTCACACAAACAAGTGCGTAGCTTTCGAGACTGCATTTTCGTGCATTTGCGGCGGACGAGCGAGCTTGAGCGTATCATGAAGACTCAACAAGACATGCATGCACTTGCTTTCTCACTGAACTGATAACAGACAGTTGAAGAACTGCATTCTTTGCGCTCCCCCTTGCCTCCCAAGCCATCTGAGAGACTGTCAGCATTGACGTCATCCGTGTCATTGGCGTCCATGCCGGCAGAAGAGTGGACGTAATGAATCTCGTAGGACTTGCCCACTTCCACTTGACCCTTGCAGTACTGGAAGGTGTAGGCTTGCAGCTGTGTGCTGTTCAGGCTGCTTGTGGGGCACATCCAGCCCGGTCGCACCGTGCCCGTCGTTGCCAAGCGCCGGCCAGCGTCGAAGGCGTCCGAGTCCGTTCCGTCGGAGTAGGCCTGGCCACAGAGCGCGCCAGGCCCCCCCCCCCCCCACGACCCCTGACCCTCCCGCTCCCACCTTGCTGACCCACGATTCCGTCGCAACATGTCGCAACCCTGCAACCGCGCTGTTTCCGCCCTCCGGCTACACCCGGCCACAGGCTACGCAGCCTCCGACTTGTGCTCCGCGCCGAGGTGGAAATGAACGTTCACCAGCGGCAGCGAATTCGCCTGCGTGTCGGTGAGGGTGATGGCTTTGGGCACCTTGTCACCCGGGGCGTTGGCCGTCAGGTCGCGTGGCGTCTGGGGCCCTGCCATGGAGCACGCCGGCTTCTGGAAGTTGTAGGGGCAGGTCGGTGCGCCCGGGTACGTGCCCAGCTCTTTCCTTAGTTTCTGTGGTGAGGCATGCTCTTCATTAAGTGCAGTAGATTGTGCTTGTAACTCGTGCAATGGACAGGATGGATGGCAGAAATCTATGATTCGTGTTTCAAGCATCGTTGCGGAGCCGCAGCACTGGTTTGTCTTGTAGAACTCCTTGACATCACCGCAGCTGAGCCCGGCCACCGCGCTTGGCAGCACAACAGCTGGCAGCAGCAAAGCCCACGACTTTGCGCGCCCCGGCAGGGCAAACGCCAGCACAATGAGCAGCAACGTGAGGTTGGGAGTCATGCCCATGGATCCTGAGAACTCTCCAGGGTTGGTGTCACAAAGGTCGACCTCCACATCATCGGGGCACACATCTCCCACCACCAGCTGCAGCCCACAAAGCAGCAGCAGCGAGCCAATCATCCGTGCCATGAGTGTATGGGTGCTAGCGTCACAGTCAAGCCAAACCTTCAAGCCAAAGTGCTTCGAACGCGCGCAGTCTCCTCAGCAGCTTCCAACCTGTCAACCGCTTGGGACGAAGGAAAGAGGAATAAAAGAGAGGGAGAGAGAGAGAGAGGGAAAGAAAGAAAGGAAAAAAGAAAGAAAGAAAGAAAGAAAGAAAGAAAGAAAGAAAGAAAGAAGGAAAGAAAGACACGAAAAGAAGAGAAAGACAGACAGAAAGACAGAAACACCGCGCGACGAAGACCGAAAGATGGGAAGGAAGCAAGGAAGGAAGGAAGGAAAGGAAGGCAAGGAAAGGAAAGGAAAGGCAAAGCAAGGAAGGAAGCAAGGAAGCAAGGAAGCAAGGAAGCAAGGAAGCAAGGAAGCAAGGAAGCAAGGAAGCAAGGAAGCAAGGAAGCAAGGAAGCAAGGAAGCAAGGAAGCAAGGAAGCAAGGAAACGAGGAAGCAAGGAAGCAAGGAAACAAAGAAGAAAGGAAGAAAGGAAGAAAGGAAGAAAGGAAGGAAGGAAAGAACCAAGCGAGCAACCGAGCAAGTGAGCAAGAGAGCAAGCAAGCAAGTGAGCAAGCCAGCAAGTGAGTAAGAGAGCAAGCGAGCGATGCAGGAAGGAAGGCAGGAAGGGAGGAAGGGAGGAAGGCAAGAAGGCAGGAAGGCAGGAAGGCAGGAAGGCAGGAAGGCAGGAAGGCAGGAAGGCAGGAAGGCAGGAAGGCAGGAAGGCAGGAAGGCAGGAAGGCAGGAAGGCAGGCAGGAAGGCAGGAAGGCAGGAAGGCAGGAAGGCAGGCAGGCAGGCAGGCAGGCAGGCAGGCAGGCAGGCAGGCAGGCAGGAAGGAAGGAAGGAAGGAAGGAAGGAAGAAAATGGTAGATGTCAAATGCTCTAACTTACTACAACCAGCACCAGCAGAACTGTGCTTGAGCGAACCCGCCCCGATGCCGGCCCTGCCTGCTGCACAAGTTCCGATACCTGAAACGTGGTGTCCCTAATGCCAATATGGGAGGCAACATGTTCTCTCATCATCTGACATGGCAAAAAGGAGCGCAAGCTGAGGAAACACAGGATCCGCAACAGCCGAACGTTTGGTCAATGTTCAACCCTTAACCTAGGGTTTGAATGTATTTTTCCTCTCGCTCCGGGGTGGTCCGGGGCGGCCCCGAGCTAAGGTTCCACGAGGGTTCCACCAGGGTCTCACCAGGGTTCCGCGAGGTTCTGCGAGGGCTGCGTGGTGGTGCGAGCACTACACAGAGCACCGCATGCTGTTGGGGATATCACCTGAGCTTGTTTCTAATATCCGCATGCTGCTTAAAGGGCAAAAACATCTGCCTGAAACGCTCACATCCATGAGTCTTCCTGGACAAATGCCCTCTTCAGCTCTTCAAAAGCCAAGGAGCGAAGTGACGTCGCCTCGGTGCATGGACTGAAACCACTTTGCGGGCACTGTCATCAACATTAGGCGCAACCATCCAAGCAAGTTGACTTTACAAGTAAAGCCTAATAAAGTCCTAATAAAATCGTACAATCGGTTTTCTGTACTGCCATTGAGAGCCTCATGCTCAAACAATCTCGCAGCGGGCCGCAAAGGGGGACAAGTGGGTTTGCCTATGCAGCGCTTGTAGCAGGGTGAATGAACAATCGTTGCGCACTAGGTGATGCAAAACGGAGACAACACACAAGCGATGGCTGCGCAAAAAGAAAAATGGGACCCCTTTGGATTGCCCTAGTACGGTCCAAAGCCACACCCCAACCTGGTGATTGTCCTTCTTCGGTTCCGTTTAATTCCACCACGAAAGTAGTAACCTCAAAAATAACAGCACCCCCATCCCTGACTTCAATGTTCACCAGAATGGAGGGTCTTTTTTTCCGCGACGAGACAACAACTCATTCGGGTGCCAGGGCAAACCGCAGGTTTTAGTCTTTGGTTCCACTTCCCACACTTGTCATTTTGGTGCCCCACAAATTTGCTTGAGCCACGCCTGATGAATAATTCAGATCAGGGCACGGAAAACCACGCCATAAATCATGAAGACGTAGAAGAAGGTCGCCAGAGTCTTGATCACCGTGAGGCCCCACATTTGACAGTGCTGGGACGAATAACCTCGGCCCGTGGTCGGATTTTCTGATCCGCGAAAAGTTTTTGACTAACTCGTGGGTTTAAATTCAAAAACTACCACTAAACACCAAAAGGCTAACTAACTCTTAGTGTTTTTTCCACTAAACACCAAAAGTATCTGAAAAGCTAAGGGGATGGCTGGGAGCCACCAAGTAACATAACGCCACGTTGTACTCGTACTGTGTCATGTCCAATTTCTCCTCCAAGCAGCCGAATTTATTGGGTTAAGACCCCTGGTGTTTTTTGTTATTAAAAAAACATGTCACATAGTGATAGATTCCCTTTAAAACCAACAGGGGAACATAAACAATATTCTTAAGCACCCCAGGGTTTGGAACAGGAGCCATACCAGGTGACGGCTGCAAAAGCTTCCCTTTTTGGGCCTCCCGAAACCTCGTCGGCTTCAAAATGCTTCCAGCTTCCACGCGCTTTAGCTTGGGCGGGTCTGCGAGTGGTTCCAGTGGCCTGGCACCAACCGCTCGCCCGGTCGGGAGTGGCTCCGAGCCGGTTTTTTTTTTGCGCGCGTTGCGAGTGAGTCGCTTGCTCACAGCTCGGTATCAAAATGGTCGTGATCCCGTAATCCCACGCTTCAAGAACTCATCGATGGCGGACATGCCCGCAACTCTCGATGGTAAG